TCCTGGCGGGGAGCAGGCTGCTGTCCGGCGGACGCGGCGCAGGCCCGGCGCCGTCCAGGAGGGTCCGGAGGCTAGTGGACTGGGTCTATGCCTCGGAGCTCTCCCGCGGTCCCTTGTCCTGCGACCCGCAGGACCCCTTCACCTGCTTCCCATGGCACCCTGCTGCTGGTCTCCTTTCTATTTGCGAAGATCTTTGGCTCACACAGTTTCTGGGTGTGGGGTCCTGGGTTTGCCTGCCTCTGTTTACTTTAAGGCCTGATGTTCCTTGGTGTTCCTTGACGTATTCGAGTCTGGATGATCAAGAATATTCCTTGCTCTCTCTCTCTCTCTCTCTCTCAGGTCCATGTGTTTTCTCCAGATATCATCTGATTGCTTCTGTGTTCCTGAGTTCACTTGAGGATGATTGTTTATCTCAGGCTGTGTTTCTTCTGTGTGTGTTTTTTCCAGAACATGTTGAGTGTATGTGTCTGGATTTATGTTTAAGTCCCTAAGCCTATGGCTTTGGTCTGTGTGTTTTTCAGTGTCTGTACTTCTTTTTCTTCTTCTTCTGATTCTTTCAGAGAACCTTTGTGTTGTGTTGGTCTGGAAGGCCAAGACTGCACAAGTATAGGTGTTTCTGCATGTCCCTCCAGCCACTTCAAAGAATGGCACAACACGCCCGAGTGTGCACACACGCACCGAATCCCTTACCTAGCGGGCAGAGACTTTTGATGTTGTTTAGTAAGACTGCTCCCTCAGCCTGTTCATTATGCTAGTTTTCTACAGTGATATAAATGATGTAAAATGTTACCGGTGTCTCCGGTTATTTTGCTTTTAGGGATGCCATGGTCTAGACCCCTAAAGGTTTAGTGGGTTTGACCATTTCCTGATCCCTGTGCCCATTGGCTGTGGCACTAATTTGTTGGTGAGCATGTGCACTAGTTTGTTTTATTTTGCAGGTGGCTATAGAATGAAAAATAATTACACAAGAATGGCTTCCACTCTGACAGAGTGTTGAAATAGCTCTATTTCAAACAATGTGCTTCTTCTGCCCTGTTGTATTGAGAGGTTGAGCCCTAAACAATTTAGCAGCTTTCAGTGTACTCTGAGCTGTCGTGGAATAGGCCAGAAACACTAAGAAATACCAAGACAAGTATTAGAGTCTATAAGGCATATCTAGCATTCATATAATATGTTTGATAAGCCCAGCAAAACAATAAAAATAAAGGAGTACAGCAAGTAAAACAGTTTAAACTAGAACTGTCTGTATTTCTAGGCTAGGAGAGAGAACACAGTCCAAGATCTGAGAAGGTCCTTGATTTCTATTGGGTGAGAGAAGTTTGTCATTTTCTGCTGCCGGGACAGAAGCTGCAGGTCTCTGGAGTCTCCCTACTGCCCATGGGGAGTGGGCAGTACCATGGGAGGGATGTGTCTGGCATCCATTTTTTGATTACAGCTCCCAGCCCTTTGTTTTCTCTGTCTGGCATCTTGCAGAAGTGATCTCTTCTTGTCCTGCCAACTCTGACTTTGTCAGCATTTTGTTTTTTAAGTCCCCACCCTCCTTCATTGATCCCCAGGCTTCTGTCCAGAGGAGCAGCTGAGACTTGATTAGGCTTTTCACCTGACAGTAAGATGTAGTGAGGTTAAAACTGACGACTTTGGTCAGCCAGCTCCTGTCTGCAAGGTCTGTTTGAAAATGGAGACCAGGATAGTTGTCTTACTTTCTCCTCCCTTCACTGCAAAAACTCTGATTCTTATTATTAAATTTTTCTTTTTTCTTTTTACATTTCTTGGTGGTTGATTTTTGGTATCTGGGCTTTTTGACTTGTTCTGTCCTGAGATTTTGATTCTTAATTTGTGCCTGTATTTCAGCTAAAAAGGCATAGAAAGAAAGAGAATGACATCTCAAAGTTTGGTGGGTTAGACTTCTTTCCTGATTGTGGAAAGAAGATGGAATTTAGATACTGACAGGTATAGATCTGAATTCTTCCTTTACCACTTAATGCAAAATTATGGGCTTATGAACCATCTTGTGCTTCACTTTAATCTTTCTATGCTTCCTCTTCATCTTTCCTAATGTCTGAAATATGGGTAATAGTAATAATGCCTTAATAATACCTACCCTACTGAGTTGTTGTGGAGATTGCATAAGGATAATATGTAGAAATCAAATATTACTGATGTGTGATTGCTGTATATGGGTTAATTTTCTTTCTTAACAGTGCTTACAGTTGTGCATGTTGAGTGAATAAATTTACAATATCAAGGTGATAAGGGTCGGGAAAGGTAAACAGATTCAAAATAAAGTCATTATAAATTGAGAACTGTATCAGATGAGGGGAAATAAAAATAAGATCTGGAATTTGGAACCACTTTAATTGGAAGCAGTGCCTTTGAGATCTGGTTAGGGAGTGGGCAATGGGAAAACAGCCTGTCCTATACAGTTCTAGGGATCCTAGATATCATGACTGAAAAAGCTACAGTGACATTTTTGGAAGCAGGAATTCCTCAGTGTCATCCCTGGAGCTGCAACTGGCTTGATGTCTTCATGATACCAACATCCCATAATCCCAGTCTGTCAATTCTGACTTCTGATCTCTGAATGTGGCTCAGGCCATTTGGGCGCTGTTCTCTGCTACCAAGACTAACTTCTGACCCTTTTGGAATTGATTTTGAAATGAGTATTCTTTTTTTTTTTTATTTTTTAACTTGGCTGACTGTGGTGTTCCCAATTTCCTCAAGTCTTTACAGCGGACTTGGCTCTGTGGTTCTTAGCATCACATTTTGTGCTACCAAACTTTTACTTTCCTTTTGTTATTTTTGGTTTTCCCCTATTTTTCTTGACCTTTGCACACTGCCAGTAGGTTATGTTTAGTGCTCTTCAAGGCATAAGTACTAATCGCTTCCTTCATTTTTTTCTTTTATTTACTCAGTAGGCATTTTAAAAATTTAGATATGCAAAAACAAGGTCTCTGCTCCAGGAAGCTCTCCATCAAATCAGTGAGACAAATAGGTAACAAACAGTGATGGTAGAGAGCTCTGAGTTGGTATTGAGAGGTAGACATACAAGTAATGACAGTGTGAGGGAGAGTGGTAGTGGCACTGTTGGGGAAACTGAGAAAGCCCGGCAGATCAGAAAGTGAGTTGATACACTTTACAGAGAGACAAAACTATTTTTACAGGTCAGCTTTTTGTTGCTATAACAAAATACCTGATGCACACAACTTAAAGGAAGAAAGGTGTATTTTTGGCTCATGGTTTCAGAGGTTTTAGACCATGGGTTGGCTAACTCCAGGGCAGAAATATCCTGGTGGAAGGCTATGGTGGGGGAATGTTGCTTAACTGATGGCAGCCAGAAAGCAGAGAGTAGGGAAGGAGCCAGAAATAAAAGGAGCCTTCCTTGAATATAGTCCCCAAGGTCATACCCCTCATGACCCAGGCAGAAGAGTGCTTTACTGATCAAGCCAACCAAATTGATAATCAAGATTAACCATTACAGTGCTCTTATATTTTTGAGAATAAAACAAAGGGACCCCTCCAAAGGAAATGACTATGCAAAAGTAGAATCCTGAGTGCCTTTTGATCAAGGAGTTGCAAATAGTGTGGGCTTAATTGCAGGTGTGCTTAAGAAGTAGTAGAGAATGAGGTTGGAATGTTAGTCACACAGCCAAGTTATCCTCCTAGGCCATGCATGTTATTGAGTTTGGCACTGGATAATGGAGATGGGCCTCCTCTTGAGAATTTTAAGCAAGGTCGTGATGTGATCAGATTAGAAGTTTAGAAAAACTGGTTACAATGTGGAAAGTGGAATGGAGTAGGTAGTTAGACAGATACAAGGAAGTCAAGTAGATAGATGTTGTAGCAATTCAATGGATAGGATAGACTGGTAGGTGATAAAAGTTAGCTGGATGTGGTGACACACATCTGTAATCCCAACACTCTGGGACGCTAAGACAAGAGTGTCACAAGTTCAAGCCCAGCCTGGGTTATTTGGAAATTTAGCAAGTTTCTGTCTCAAAATAAAAATAAAAAAGGGCTGGTGATGCAGCTCAGTGTGAAGACCTGGGTTCAATTTCCATTACCCCCCCAAACCAATCAATCAATCAATAATTTAAGAATTGGCATCCTGCAGTGATGCTAGGTCAGTATAAGCAAGAGAGGGAATAGGTTTGATGTCATGCTGACTATTCTGAGGTAAAATAATAAAATCAGATTTTTAAAAATTGGTTATTGTAAGTGTGGGCAAATAAAATGATTTGCTGTGTGAAATATTTACTATGCCTGTGGGGGAAAACAGTGCCCTGTGATACCCTATCTAGGCCATGAGGAACCCAGTCTTGATCTTGCATTGGCTGCCTGAAGGGCCCTATATTTCATTCACAGAAAAATGACTGTCTACTTTGTTGTTTACCTTGGATTGACTTTCCTAGGCCTGGCCTTTTCTTTAATAGTATGTGTACTCTTCTTCAGGATTTAGAATCAAGCAGAGTGAAGAGATACATTGAAGCTCCTTTCAGAGGACCTTAGCCACAGTGGAAATCATTTGCGACTTAGAGCAGGACACTGTTTTCCTGGTTCACTTGGGACTACCTGTGACTTTATGTATACCTGGTAAGAGGCTTGGTTCTGGGGAGGGTCACTGAGGATATATTTTGCTTGTTAAAGGAGTATATATACTAACTCAAATGTTTCAAATCTCAGGCATTCTCAGAGATCAAGTCAAGTGAGTATGAAGAGATGAGAATCTTACACCACAGAGAAGGTGAAGAGACCACTGACCCTATGCATTTTCCTTGTGTTCTTTCATGAATCATTAATAATGTGCATCACAGTTTAACTAAGTGTGCAGTGCCTCAAAGTGCATTCTGTGGGACACCTGCCTTTGAGTCCCTCGACGTGCTTGTTATATCTTTTTGGGTCATTTTTAAGCACTTAAAATGTAGGATTCTTGGAATTCCAGTTCATGTAGAAGGAGACAAGAACTGTGGTGGACTGCAGTGTGTCCTTTAAGAATATTGGGGAAATTGGAGGAGAGACTTCTGCGATGGGCCCCTGGGTATGAGCCTGGAAGGATATTAGGAAAAACGGATGGAAGGCCAACAAGGGTAAAAGCAGAGCAAGCTTTCAACAATTTAATTAGATGGTAGGTATGATAATTCCTTGCTATGTAACACTGGTTGTGTATGTGCAAAGTAATTTTTGAAGTTATAAAAGCGTATGCCTCCTCCTGTGATACTGAAGGGAATGAGAGTGGATCTGGTGCTTGGCTGTGCCTTGGGATGGGATCTCTTCACACCCCTGAGAGCTGTGTAGCCCATGAAGAGGGCCTTTGTGTTTTTAGCTTAAAAAAAAAAAACAATACTTTTTAATCTATATATTCTTAGAATTCATGGAGTTTCTTTAAAGAAGCTAAAAGGTTGGAATCAGGCTTGAGATCAATAAGTGGTACAGTGAGGACTCAACTTCTCAAATGGACTAACATTTTAAAGACTCAGATCAGCAAAAATTAAAATAATTGATATTCTCCATTGTTTGTGTATGAGAAGTGCATGATGGAATGGGCCGGGATGGAGAAAGAGAAATTGGTGTTGTTACCTTTAAAGGAAAAAGACCAAATCTGTACTAGCTCTACTGGATTCTAACAGATCAATAGACCACTAACCCTACTATTAAGGAGCTATGGTCTAGTGGAGGACATAGACGAGCAATACTGATTCAGTGCAGTACAGTTAGCTGTGTGTGTCTGTGGGCTCAATACCTACAGACTCAACCAGACAAGATATTTCTAAAAAATTGTTCATTTGTAAAAAATTGTATCTTTCTATACTGAACAAGTACAGACATTTTTTCCTGCCAGTATTCCCTACAAACGGCACCATAACAACTATTTACATAGAATTTGTACTGTAGTAGGTTTTATAGGTAATCAAGAGCTAAATTAAAGGAGGTAGGAGAGATGCATATGGTTTATGAAATACTGCATCAGTTTATGTAAGTGTGAGCATTCATGAATTTCAATGCCCACAATGCAAGAGCCTATTGACATGCATACAAGGGAAAACTGTATATTTTATTTTTCTAATTTTAATTTTTATTAGTATATGTTTGCAGTAGATAGTGATTATTTTCATCATGGGGAGCTGGTACATGTACATAACACATCTTAATTCTTTTTGTCCCTGCTCCTCTTCCCTGCTACTCCCTCCATCCCTGGATCCCCTTTCCATTTGCAAAAGTTCTATTTCTATATTTTTCAATTCTTTTGTTTCATCCCCTTTCCCTCTTCTCCCTTCTCCTATCATCCTTGTTCCTTTTACTAATTGAAAAAGACCTCCCTACTTCCTGTTATCTTTTATTCTGCTCATTATTTATATTTGGATTGCTCATATAAGAAACCATATGATATTTAAGGTTGTGTGTTTGGTTTATTTCACTTAACATTATATTCTCAAGGTGCATCCATTACCTACAGATGACTTAGATGTTCCTTATGGCACAGTAGTACTCTATTGTGTATAAATATCACATCTTCTTTATCTATTTATCTTTTTTTTTTCCCCGGTACTGGGGATCAAACTCAGGACCTTGCGCTTGTGAGGCAGGCAGGGGAACCACTGAGCTAAATCCCCGTCCCCTATCTACTTCTCTATTAATGGGCATATAAACTATTTCCAAGATTTAGCTTTTGTGTGCATATATCATTATTGTTTATTTATTTATTTTGAGAGAGAGTCTTGCTAAATCTTTAAGTTGTTCAGGGAGGGCTTGAACTTGCAGTGCTCCTGCTTCAGCCTCCCAGAGTGCTGGTGTGTGTTTTTAATTTACATAAGTGCTATTGTGCTTTTGATCTTACATTCTTTACTTTTTTCAGAGTGACTTTTAAAGGCCTACCCATTTTCATTGTGTATGGGTAATTTGTTGCTTTGAACCAGTTTTTGGTGCTCCACAGTATACATTTGCTATAGTTTACCTCTTTTATTGATGGCCACCCACCCACATTGACTCAGCTTTCCTGAGTCATATACAATGCTGCCACCAGGATCCTTTTCCTTTACGGACCTGTGTGAGTTTTCAGGGTAAAAACAGGATCAGAATTCTGGGGTTGGAAGGCTTATTTGACAACATACTATAGATTGCTCCCTAGATAGGGCTGTACTGGCTACATGTTCACCACCATGTAAAGACACCCTTCCCCAACAGCACTTGGAATATTTTAGTCCATCCTATTTCTAAAGTAGCATTACATTACTGGCTAATTTTCATTTCTCTGGTTACTCGTGAGTTTCAGGATCTCTAGGTGTACTCATTAGCATTTTGTCATGCCCATTGCCTATTCACGTTTTGTGCATTTTTCTGTTGAGTTACAGTCATTTTGTTGATGACTTGCAGCATTTCATTGTACAGAAACCCCTATTGCCCTTATCTACAGCATATTTTTTTTGTACTTTTATTTACTTGGGTTTATATACAGTCTGAAAGTTTTAAGTGGAGGATTCCAGAAATAATATGTGAATTTTAAATTGTGTGCTATTCTGAGTACTGTGATGAAATCTCACAGCATCTTGCTCCATATTGCCAGGGATGTAAATCATTTCTTTGTACATCATATTCACATTGTATATGCTGCCTACCTCATCACTTGGTAGTCATTTTGGCTAATCATATAGGTTATTGTTACGATTTATGTCTTGTACGGCCTCCCGAGGTCTAATGATTTGGAGGTGAGGCTTTCGGAAGGTGATTAGACTGGTGGAGCATCATTGAAGGATTCATAGCTGATTGTGCTGTTAGGAGATGGGGCCTGATCAGAAGACGCAGGTCACTGGGGATGTGACTTAGAAGAGTTTATCTCCTTCCCTGGCTTCTCGTTTCTCTCCGTGTCACATGACCACCTTGATTTGAGCAAATTTCTTCTGCAAGACCCTTCTGCTATACCTTTTGTGTGTTGGACCCAATTGATTGTTGCCTAAGTCCTTTGAGAACTGTGTACTCTCATCTTTTAAGTCATGTGTATTGGGTAGTGTGTCTCATTGAGTAAGTAACTAAGTACTAAGTTACTAAGTAACTTAGAAAGTAACTAAGACAGATTTTGGTATTGAGAGTTGGGTAATTCCTGTGATGGTTCAGAAGGCTTTGGAATTTGTTTGCAGGTGGAATTTGAAATGGTTAGGAGCTCTGAGAGTAAAGCCAAAAGTGCAGTGGAGAACCTGGGAAGTTAGAGATGCCAGGAATGTGGAATGTCTACTAAGGAAAGCCATAGCAGTGAGGAGAGTCACCCTACAAGAGTGGCCATAGGGCTGCCACAGGAGTGGGACCACCCAAGCTATTTGGTGCTTACAGCTCACAACTTTCCCCAGGTGCTGGCCATAGAGGTACAGGATTTAAATGTTTGCCCTGCTAAGTTTTGGTCTTGTTTTATTCCCATTCCTTTCTATCCTCCTATTTTCTCCTTTTGACATGGTAATGTTTACCCTCTGACATTTTATGTCAGCTGTGTTTAACTTTCTTTTTATTTTTACACCGTTCATACCTAAGAATTTGCCTTGAGTCTTCAGGGATACTTTCAGGTTGGACTTTTAGCATTGTCAATACTGTTAAGAATTTGGTAACTCCGGGCTAAATACATTTTGCATAATGAAACAGACATGGATTTCGGGGGGCCAGGGACAGAATGTCATGGTTCAATCTGGAATGTCCCCCTGAAAGGTTCGTGTTCAGAGGTGGAGCTTTTGAGAGGTGATTGGACCACAGAGGTGCCGTACTCTTCAGTGCTATTCTGTCCATGGCTGAATGTGCTGTTAAGAGAGGAGCCCTGGTCAGAGGGGGTCACTAGGAGAATGACCAGCAGGGTACAGCTTCCTTCCTTGCTCCTCCCTTCTCACTTTGTTTCCTGGCCACCATGATGTAAGCAGCTTTTCTCCACCTGATAATTCCCACCATGCCCTTCTTGCCTTGGATCCAGATGAATATGGACTGGATTCTCTGAGAACTGTGGGTAAAAATGAACCTTTTCTTTAAATTGTGTGTAGCAGGTATTACGCCTCAGCAAGGAGGAAATTTGCAAAACAACTCTCAGGATATCCCAGTCTGTGTTCAAGTAGCCCTTATCTTTTTATTTATTTATTTATTTTGGTACCAGGGATCAAACTCAGGACCTTGTGCCTTCAAAGCAGGTGGCGGAACCACTGAGCTAAATCCCAGGCCCCAACACTTACCTTATTTAGTAATGGTCTCGAAGCTCAAGAGCAGTGATGCAAAGAAAGCACTAGAATTTTCTGATATTTCTTCTAAAGAGCATAGAATGCCTTTTTAATTACTCTTCTCATTTTATATGTTCTTTAGTAGATTAAATTTTTCTATGTATTTTTGTTAAAGGCGTCTATAGCTGCTTTATAAATTTCATGCTGCTGTAAATTAAATATTATTTTTCACTTACATTTTTCAAGTGAGTTCTTCTAGAGAAATGGCTTTTGCTTTTAGTTTCTTCATCATACTATATATGTTGCTCAAGAGCAATTGCTCCATTTTTTTCTCTATATATTCTCAGTGTTTTGAACATAACCTAGTAATTGATCAATGACTTTTTTTTTGTACTGGGGATCACACTTAGGACCTTGCACTCCACTGAGCTAAATCCCTAGCTCCAGAATATTTTTTGAATGAATAAATAAAGAATAGGCTATGTAGAACAGAATAGTCTCCTTTGATATTTGTAATCTTTCTGACAACATCTATAGCAGTTGTAACAGTTGCTCCACCAGGGGGCAATTTACTTGTTTGTTTGTTTGGTACCCGGAATGGAACTTGGGACCTTGTGCTTGTGCTTGCTAGGCAAGTGGAGCCACCACTGAGCCGAATCCCCGGACCCTGCAATCTATTCTTTTGCATGTGGTCTTCCTGACAGTGATCAATTAATCCCCTGAGGTGGCTAACTTAATCTTAGCTTCCACCTCCTCCAAGGAAAAATAAATTCTTTTTGAACATAGTTTTTTTGTTATTTATTGTGGATTTCTCAAAGCACATACTCTTGGATCAATTTGTGTGTAACTTTTGAAAAGCTTCACTGGTATTGAGACTTGGTGCTTCCTAAGGTACCTAAATAATTGTCTCCCTGAAATACTTACAGGATTGAAGTATTATCTTCCTGATTTTCTCTTGCAAAACAAACGTTTAGACCTATTAAGTGGTGATTCAGCAAAGGGGATCAAAAGAATCTGAACACCAAAACCTAACTACCCTTAGGACTAGAGCAAGGTTGAACATAGCTGAAGGGACTCTTGATAACTTTAGACAAAAGTAAAGAAAACGTAAAGTAAGAAAATAAATGATAATTCATCTATCTTATGAAATGCCCCCTGAGTGTAATGTGAAAACCTTTCTCAATATGCCTCTTACCCTCAACCCTGGTCTCCTCTCTGCCTTTCCTATTCTTGACTTCATAAACTCTGTGTTCTGACCCTCTCGGATTGCTTGTTAAACCACTAACATGCCTCCTATAATTTTACTATGCAATTTTCATAGATAGTAACCTCTGTATCTGAAATAGTCTTCTTGCCTTTATCTGCTGATTCATTTCAATAATACTTTACTTTCAATAATACTTTATTACTTTAACACTTTAGCTGAAACTTGCCCCAACTTCTCCAAATGAAGTAGTCATGTTTTATTCTGTGTCACCTAATATATCCCACATAAACTTCAGTTAGTCCTTTGCTATTGCTAGGTTGTTGTAACTAGTTTTTAGAACTGTGTCTCTTACCTGCAAGTGCTTATTAATATTTGGGACCATGCAGTCTCTGTCTTTGTGACTTACTTCAGTGTTCAGTGTGAATTCTGTACAGAGAAGGCAATCAATCAATACTTGCTGAGTAGATGATCGAGTAAATTTACCATGGAGAGAATAGGATTTAGGTGCACTACTTGTCATGTGGTTCTAGCCAAAGAACTAGTCTTTCTATTCATCTATAAAATAAAAGCAACATATCTATATTTGTTCTGTTTTGGAGATTCTGTGGGAATTCACCAGCACCAGTCAACTGGATGCCTCAAGAAAACCACACAGACTTGTTGTCCTAAACAATAGACTGTTCTCACAGTTCTGAATGCTAAGTTCAAGGCCCAAAGGCCAGGAGATTAGGTCTTTTGTGAGAATTCTCTTACTGGCTTGCAGGTGGCTGCATTTTCTTTGTATACTACAGACAGAGGAAGTTCTGATGTCTCTTCCTACTCTTTTAAAGACCCCTATGCCATCTCTCAAGTTCTACTCTAATGACTTCATCTATGCCCAGTTATCCCCCTAAAGGCCCACCACCTAATATTCTCACTAATGAAAGTCTTAACACAATTAAGCTTAGATTCCAACTTGAGTGTCTCGAGAGCCACACCAAGAATTAGTAAAGCACACTTCTGGGTGTGTCTGGGGGGTGATAGAGGTTTGACCTTCGTAGTTTACCTTGTCCCACATCCCTTCCTCTCTGGAGCTATTCTCCTTCTCTGCTTCCTATCCTCCAAGGACTAAGCAGCTTTTCTCCACCACACCCTTCTGCCATGATGTTTCTGCTGTGGAGCCAGCTAACCATGGACTGAATCCCCTGAAACCATGAGTCAAAGTAAATCTCTCCTCCTTTAAATTGTGGGTATTGGGTATTTTGCACCAAAAATGGGAGAGCTGACTGATATGAGCCTTTTCAAAAGAAATGCTCCAACTTTGGAGCCAGATGAGGGAACAGTGGATTTTGCCTTATAGATAATGATTCCACTTCCTTGCTTACCTTTCTGTTTTATCTTTAGTCTTTATGGAATTTGGGGGATGCCACTCTTGTATAGATTTGAGTTCATTTGTTTCATTATTCACTGTATATCAACTCAGTATCTGTCATGGTTTGATTTGGCGTGAGAAATAAACAAATCCTTAGGCTTCACAAATTAAGATTATTCAATAAAGGAAGACAAGTCACCATTTAAGCAGGGAACTTCAGGTGAGCACCAAACTAACTCAGAGGTAGGAAAGAGTAGCCGTTCCAAGCGAGATTAGAATGCTAGTGATTATTGATAAGAAGCATTTTGAATGGGAAACTGTGGCTCTCAACTAAAAGCCTTAAAGATGATGCTTTTGTAATCTTAGGATACAAGTTAATAAAAATTGCATCTCAATGACAAATTAATGGAGCTACTAGAAGAAGCTGAAAATGTAAATCTTGCTTCATACCACACATACTTCCAGGGAGGACACAAAACTCTGGAAAACAAAATTCAATAGGAAAATTGTTACCTATAGGATGACTATCACCAAGCAATCAGATAACAATAACTGCTGGTGTGGCTATAGGAAAGAAGAAATCCTTCTACATTGTTGGTGGGAATGTGGAATAGCACAAGCACTATGGAAAGCAATATGGAGATTCCTCAGAGAGAGAGAGAGAGAGAGAGAGAGAGAGAGAGAGAGAGAGACAAAGAAAAGAGAGAGAGACAAAGAAGAGAGAGAGAGAGAGAGAGAGAGAGAGAAAAGAAATTCCATTAGACCCAGCTATTCTCCTCCTAGGTATCTTCCTAGAGTTAAAGACATCATGTTAGAGTGACACATGCCTATTTGTGTTCATAGCAGCATAATTCATATCTAAACCTTAGAAACAGCCTATATGTCCACCAAAAGATAAACAGATATAGAAACTGTGGTTTATTTGTGAACAGTGGATAAAGGTCTGTCATCAAGGATGAACTTGTATCTTTGTAGGAAAATGGATGTACCTTGATACTGTGATGGTAAGTGAATAAAATCAAACACATAATCTTAAATATTGCATGGTTTCTCTTATATGAGAAATAAAAATTTAAACAAATTATAGAACAAAATAAAAGAATAGGAAACAGGGAGATAGATCTTTTACAAAAGGGAACGGGACCAAGAGATAGAGGGGAGGTGGAGAAAGAGGAGGGAAAGAGTTATAAGTCTGCTCTGAGGGACATTTATGCGACTCACATTAAAACAAGAGGAATCAGGATGTATCATGCACATGTATCAACGCCCCACAATGAATGTAATCATCATACACTGCAAACATGGACTAATAAAATGAAACAAAGAAAGTGTAGTCATCCTCTGTACCTTCAGATTCTACCTCTGTACTGAACATGTATGTACAGATACTCTTCTTCAGGTTCTTGTTCCCTAAGCAATGTACTGCAACATCTGTTTATATAACATTTCTATTGCAGTTAGTATTACAGGCAATCAGGAGGTGATTTAAAGTGTATGGGATTATTGCATAGGTGATAAGCAAATAGTGCACCATTTTATGTAAGGAAGTTTAGCATCCATAGACTTTGCTGTGCACAGGGGTCCTGGAACCAGGCCCTTGAAGATACTCAGAGATGATTTAGCATGTTGTGAACTCTTATTTTTGTCAACTATTATTATGTTTCTTTTGCCCTATTTTCTTTTTATCTACCCTAACTTTATATTGTGTGTATATGTCTATGTGTATATATGAGTCAAATATATTCTTTTTTTTTTTTTTTTTTTTTTTTTTTTTTTTTTTGGTTTTTTGAGACAGAGTCTCACTGTATAGTTGATACTGACCTGGAACTCACTATGTAGATCAGGCTGGTCTTGAACTCACAGCAATCTTCCTGCCTCAGCCTCCCAAGTACTGAAATATATTCATTTTGTATAAGAAGTATACATGTATAAATCCAACCGATATGTACATAAATATACTAGCTCTTATACTAGGAAGAAGGGGAAGTTATTGTTCCAAACATTCCTTTGGCACAGACTTAAAGCCAAATATTTTTGCTATCATGTTTATATATACATACATGTATATATATGTTTAACACATAATTATATATATGCACGTGTATACGTATGTAAAATATATTTTTTTCCTGTTTCAGTCAGTGTTAACTAGAGAAACAAATATAAAACAAGGTGTACAGATGTATAAGAATTGATAAGATTGGCTTGCAATGGCCACCCACAGAGTCGACCAAGGAAGAGCGTAGAGGATCTATCTGCACACTGGAGACTGAAGGATCCAGTCAAAGGTCTGGTGCTTCCTGCAGTGTCCTATGTGAGTCTGTGTCAGGAGGCCGATGGGTCTGAGATGCCGGAAAGCTGAAAGATCAGTGCCAAAAGCTGAAGAGCCTGTGCTGGAAGGCAAGAGATGATGTCCAAGGTGAAGGCAAAGACTGGAGCTCCTCCAGAGAAACAGAAGCGGACCCATCCTTCATTTTCCCTTTCTACCATCCAGGTGACAAGCTGCCCTACAGTGGGTCTTCCACACCTTAGGCTATGGAATTGCTGAGTCAATTAAGTTGAGCTTCTCTACTCAAGTTGACACAATCGATTAACCACCCATCACATTTCCTGTTTGGGAGAAACTAGAAATATGGGTTTTTTTAAAATCTTATTTTCTTTTTGTATCTTGTCTTTTTGGTGCCCAAATCTCTCCATATTACTGAGAGGATAAGTTGGGTCTTTATGTGGTGCTTCTGACAGAGATAATACAAGCCTCAAACTGGTAACAGCATGTTTACTTTGAACATGGAAATAGTCTTAGTTTTGCCTTTATTGTCTTTCCCCTTTGCTACCACAAAGTTATTGGCCTTATCCTCAGTCTGGAGTCCTTGCTGTGTCTGAGGTGTCTGCACCACTGTCAAGTATCCATCCAGAGACTATGCTTAGTGTAAGTGTCCCTCTTCTACTTTTTCCTTTTCTACATGCTTTTATTCCAAAATGCAACCACTGCTCCTAGGGCCACATAGCAGTATCCTCCCCTGCTCTAGATATTGGGTGGGCATCCTGCTGTCACTAGGCCCTGAGGCCCCTGCTCGCCCCATACTTCTGAAAACACAGAGCACATGTTGAAGAGCAGAGAGGGAAAAATGGGGAACCAAGTGTGACTGGTCACGGGGTTCACTATCCAGTCAAAGAAGCACAGAAGGGAAGAGAGAACAATAGAGATGAGGATGACCAGGAATGGAGGGAGATGCCATTCACTTTGGCAGAAGCATCCTTGTATTTCCCTTATTAAGCAAGTATCCCCGCTTTCATGGCTCTCTCGAGGGGGATATACCTTAGAGGTTCAAGGCATAAATGCAAGACATTAAACAACAAAAACAAATGCAAAAGCCTTAGAGTTAGGACAGTTCAATTCTGAGTTTTTAGAGACAACCAAACAGCTCCAGAAATATTATGGTATATAAGATCCTTTTCCTATGTCTCCATGATGGCCAAACAGGGCCAGTATCCTCCCTATCACTCAGGCTAAATTACTGAGCACCTTCTCCAGACTGCCCACATTCTTGATTGCCTTACTGTGCATAAATTAATGGTAGGATGCTTTTGTTGATGTGGGTTATAGAAAGATAATTATAATTATAACATGGGCCGTGCCATAAAAGAACTTGGAACATTTAGATCAAAATTATAAAATAATATTCTAAATCAAACTCTGAAAAGCCCAAAGAGGGGTAAAAATCATAAAGCCACAGAAATTTGGAAGAAAGTATGGCAGATGTGGGGCCACAGTGACAAGGATGGGCTCTATTAAAAGTGTGATCCTTGAGCTGGGTGGAAAGTGGGTGGGTGTGGGAGTTGCATCTCACAGTGTGCATTTCCACAAGGACAATAGCTACTCCACCCTACCGGGTTCCACCTCTGCCTCCCTTACCCCTGACAGGTAAAAGCAGCATTTTGGAAAAGGAAGGCCCTGGAGGCTAAGCATAAAGCCTTGAGACACTGAATTAGGTATGTGTGGGGCCTGTGGGAAGCATTATGACCTGGAACAGTCTTCAGTCTTTAGGCCCAAGTCGGCTTCTACCAGGGTGTTTTTGCACAGTGTGTTTTTCGGACAAACTTACGAGATCATGTGTAGATTTAGTTCTCAGGCAGAAGCTATTTTTGTATTTCAAATTCCAGCGGAAATGTGAGTGATATGGTTGGCAGAAGCAATAGCACCATCTGGTGGGGGAAAATGCTTCAGCGCACAAGCTTTATAGTTTTGAAATTTTCAGTTACCCCAAAGAAAAATCAGTCTTGAAACACATTCGTAACTCTAAATCACTATTGGGGTGCATAATACATCAGTAACAAAAGATTTCTCATATATTAATTATTTATTGGCGAGATAGCACTCTTGGCCAGTGACAGATTTCTTATTTTCACAATCCTGGCACATAATTAGGATTTAATATTCTCCCTGTCTCAGACTCATTTATTTAGAATATGAGCCCTTGTGTTTGAGATTTAACCATGTTCCAAGGGAGCCAGCCTTTTTTACATTTATCAAAGTAACTCCGAGTCCTCAGCAAGAATGAAGGTATAAACAGATTTCATTGTTCTATTTTGTCTCCTGCCATGAAGAATTAGTGAAGACTTCATAGCTGTGACAATGTCATTTTCTAGAAATTTTATTCGGTCCACTAAAAAATTAATCTCTAACAAAATATTTCATTTGGAATCATAAATTTATTGAACAATTAAAGAATGAATGAGACTTTTAAATGTGAGTGGTTCGCCCTCCCATGGAGGGGGAAAATGCTCGGTCTTTCAGGTTTAGTGTCCCTGTTTCATCTGCATCAAGTATGGACTTCATCATCCTGGGAAGGTTTGAACTTCTGAACAATCTCACATATCTCCAGAGCTTACAGTTTGTGTGAATTGGGCAAAAAAAATTTTAAAAATTATGTTTTAAAACTTAAAACAAAGTAAGTATCCCCCTCCCCTAAAACTGGATTCCCCAGTTATCCAGTTCACTTTCCTGGGGTAGCAGTATTGCAAGTTGTCTATGAAATGTCACAAAAAATATTCTGTGCTTATGAGAACTTTATTGCATCATGGACAGTCCACAGAATATTTTGAATTTGCATTTATCACTTGAAAATATAGATTGAAGATTGTTCTGTATCATTACTTTAGTGCTGCCTTGCTTATTTTCCAGCTGTGCAATATTCTGTCGAGTATTGCATGATTTACTTAGCCTGTCTCCTCTTGAATTTATTTCCAGTAGTTTGATGTACAAACAGTGCCTCACTGGATGACATTTACATCTGCTACTGTGCATGCATGCCAACCTACCCGCTGGAGGTATTTGGAGAAGTGGAATTGCTAGGTCAAATGCTTTGAGCATTTTTAATTATGAGAAATGCTCTCCTCCTTGGAAGTCATTTGTACTGACACAACAACATAGGATGCTCCGTTCCCTCATTAAGCTAAGCTAAAAAACTTAAAAAAAGAAACTTTTGGACTTTTAGGATCTGATGGGTAATACATTTGAGTTTAATGAGTAGCAGAATCTGCCGTTTTCTTATTATGAATTTGGTTATACGAAAATGAAGTTTTTCGTGAGACCTGCTCACTGAGTCAATTCTTTTTCTCCAAAGTTCCTTTGGCACATGCACTGATTGTTTAAAATTTTCGTTTTTTGAATAGGTGAAAAATGGCTTGGGCTGCTGATTTAGCTCAGAGATTCCACTGGCTGCCTCACAAGCCCAAAGACCTGAGTTCAATCCCTGGTACTAAAAAAAAAAGCTTAAATTTTAAACACCTTCCAAACCTGTTCATTTATGTTCTTTTCCTTCTGTTCATTTCCAGTAGTGGGTTTACCATAAAGCTAGAGAAGCTCAAGCTTTACAGCCCTTTCTAAAGCCCCAAACTAGTTTTATATTCATAATTTTACATTCTTTTTCTTTAAAAAATTGTCCAAAGTTATAGAAGCTTCAGGCTGCATATGCCCCTGTCATCCCCGTTTTCAACTTCTCAATTTCTTATGGATTATTTTATGCACATAGAAATACAACCTGAAATGGATTATTCATACTTCCACTTTGTACCCTTGCTTTCCTCAATGTATCTTGGGTATTTTCTCTGTGTTAAGAGAAGGTTCACACCCTTTCTTCCTATATTATTTTCCATTTGTTTTTTGACAGTTGCATGGTCTTCCATTGTATGGAGTTAGGCTCTTTGTTTTATCAGCTCTTCATTAGTAGGCCTTAGTGTATATTTGTTTTGTTTCATTTCTGCCATTTTCTTAAGTGTCCAGGCAGGTTTTAGAGCCCTAAATGACATTCAAGAATCTGGTAGAGCCACAGGCTTCACAAGAGATGGGAATTAAAATAGATGAAATTGGCAGGGGGAATCTCAGCTTGCTTACCCTCCACCCTCTTCAGGTATCTAGGACTCTAACTCTTATCAAAACAGGTCCTTGGAAACCTACCTTTCATAGCCTAGTGTGAATCTGTGCATGCTAAGTTCATCTATGATTATGAAACACAAGGTTGTCTTGCTAAAGCATTTCTGACAATCTGAAGACAGGAAGGAAAGACAACTGTCTTTGGATGCTATAAAATCATACTGGGCAGGCAGCAGGTGTTGACTTTAAAATGTGGGGCAGATAGCCCATGAGGACATATCTGTCTACCAGTGGCCTTGCTGTGGCCCACTAAATAACTGCCACTACAGACACACTAATGTTTTAGCGTCCTGTGTCTGATGGGAAGGACTGAACAGCCCAGACCCGGAGGGCTGAATATTTTCTGTGCCAGGAGATTCAATCATTTTGAGTTTAGACTCTTTATACTGTCTTCAGTCACTACTTCCCTTCTCATTCAGGACAGTACACACCATTTGAATTATATTTTGAATAGCCAGAAGTGCAGCCTTTCTATTCTCCCTATCCTCTTAAAATGTCATCTGTCCAGTCTTCTAGCAGAGCCTGTTTTCTGGAAAAGATCATACACCTGTCTAATTTGGTTACCCCAAATCTAACCCATTACTCGGTGTTACTTTTAGTTCCTAGATTAGTATTATATAAAAATTCTTTATATGAATAGTTGCATAGTATTCCATAGTATAGATATAGAATATTTTATTTAACAATTCCATTTCTCACTAAGATTAGGTTATTTGTGACATTTTGCTCAAATATGGCTCAAATTTAAAATTGAATATTTTAATATTTATGTATATATTTGGATACATGTATATGAGAATATTTCTGTAGGATATGTCCCTAGAATTAGAGTTCCTCAAGAGGTATGGAAATTTTAATTCTTGAAGAGATATTTCTAAATTTTCCCCAAATCAATTTAGATTCCTGTCAGAATTATGGGACCCACATCCCTATCAGTCTTTCTGTTTTTGTTTATCCAATGGGGAAAAATGCTATTTCATATTTTAAAAGCTATTTCTCTAAAATGTTATTTCATATTTTAAAAGCTATTTCTCTAATTTCCAGAGGGGCAGTGCACCTTTCATCATGTTTTTTTTAAAATTTAATTTATTGGTACATTCTAGGTAGACAATACAGTTACATTCATTACTGGGATCTTGTACCTTTACATGACAGGTCTTGGTTCTCATTTTTCCCCTTACCCCTGCCCTCCCTTTACCCCTCCCCCTCCCCTATTTACAAAGTCTTTGTTTCCATTTTTTTCCTTTTCTCATATTTTTTTCCTTTTTCTTTGTTCCCCCTTCTGTATCCTTCTCACTGTCCCTACACTTTTGGTCCTTTTCTTCCTATTTGCTAAGTGTCCCATTAGGATCTTGAGTACTGTTTTAGTTTTTCACACCAGAGATACTATTTGGTATTTGCATATGTGTGCCTTATATATTTCACTAAGAAGTATATCCTCAAAATGTACCCATTTAACTATGAATGAATCTACTTTCTCATTCTTTATGGCT